CCTTCGGTACCTGCAGACCCTCTCAGCTGACTTCTGCATCTTTCACTGCACTCTGAAGAAGCAGCACAGCTAAGAACTACTCCTGCATGGGCATCTCTTGCAAAGACTACGTGCAATTTTAATGAAGGCCCCTAAACCTAATAGTGATAATTAATGATGGTGGTATTGCTGAGGTTATGCAAAGGATCTGGTTTGGTTCTTAAGATTTCAGACCAAGTTCACCCAACATGAAAGATGGGAAAAAAAGTTACCCAACCGCACTAAGCTGAGACAAGTCTCAAGTTCTAAGGCACTGAATGAGGCAGACAGCTGCTAATCCATTTCAGAATTAAACAGTATTTAGATGGTAGAAGAACAAGTACTGTTAGTGGGTACCGTGGTAATACATTTTATTATTCTTCATTGGTAAATATTAGTACGTCCCATAATTGTGCTGATGGATGGTAAATAGCTCAAGATCCTAAAGGTTAATGATATTTAAATTCCAAAAGTGTAAGCACTTATTCATGCAATTTACACGGACAGCATTTGCTCGGAGTACCAATACCTTCAGGCAGGCAGCTTTTTTTAAAGCAATAACAAACATAGTGAAGAAAACCTAGATTAGGAAGGTCCACTGCTTCAAGAAGCCTGGGCACATGGCTAGTGCTGCAGAAACATGGGACCACAGGCTGCTGAGGAGCTATGGCCACTTCACAGCCAGTGAGGATCAGTTCCTGGCTCAGCCAGTGAATACCTCTGTGCCTACAAGGGACTGCTTCATCTCTTTGTGTCTCTGTGGCTGCCTCCAGAGCGGGCAGATGGTCACACCCAGCCTTCTTTGTGATCAGAATTTGCCAACAGAATTAAGTGTAAAGACAAACAAATGGAATATTAACCCAACAGTTTGTACAGTTTATTTGAAAGCCTTTCTAGGACTCCTTTGCTATCCCATGCCCTCAGGATGTAGCAAACCAAGAAACTTTGCTTTGGTTATCATCCGCTGCAACAAAGATTTCTTGCTCCCTGCCCTACCCACGCTTTCAGCTGGCTCTTTGTAAACCCACCACCATCCCACCCGAATCCCCGCATGCCAAATTGCTTTACAGTTCCCGTTCCACTTGTTCTGCTCACAATCCTCTCCTTGTCCAGCTCCCCAGGTAGCTGACTTTAACATGACTGCCCAGCTGCTCTGCAGCCTCCCCGCGCCCCAGATTTCCGCTGCTCTTTTCAGGGTCTCTGTAGAAGGCCCGGCTCACAGATGCACTATACAGGCCAAACAACAGGATGTTGTAAAGGTCCAACTACTGTGTGCTTTTCATATGGATATGCTAATGGCCATACTATCAGCACACAGCTGTAAATGCAAATAGCAGAGCTCAGCTTGGGCATCTTTTATGGGTGTTTAACCACCTTCTGTCTTATAAGGGACCAACTCCCTATTATTTGGAAGATAAAAAGCGAATAGCTCACCTCGTGTCAATGCTGTGTAAATCAATTAAGACAATAAGAGCACAGTACAGAGGTGCTGTTAAGTCTGGCTCCAACAGAAGGCTTTAAGTCACTGATGGCTTTCTCATCTGCCCCGAATGGCAGGCAGTATCTGCCAGCTATCTGCACACACTGCAGAGAGCTGTGTTTCATTCAACTCCATTATAACTCACTTACAACAAATGCATGTCACAGTAAACTAAGCAATCAGGAAATGTTGTGGGTTAAAAGTTTCAAAGGGCCAAATTATCCTAACAAGACATTTGTGGGTTGTCTAGTCATGTACCTCTCCAATATCCTCACCTGAAATGAACAAGAGCAGTCCCTGCAGGGTTTCTGTGTGTTTTGATACCCTGGGTTCTGGGTTAAAACAGTGGTGCCAATGCCCTTTGCCACACAGGTACGTGTCTGCCATGGTTTGGCCAAGCATCTGAAGGATCCACATCCACCTTAGTGCTACTTGAGAACAGAAGGATGTGTGCTCCATACAACAAATACTTCCATGGCTCATTCCTTTGCTCCCTATTCACCCATTTCCATCCAGTGCATACTGAATCCTCAGCTATTTCATTGATAAAAATTATCAGAGATGCAGGTACGTTAGGAATAAAACACTCTCTGTTGTCATAACAAGTAATATGGCCATAGACAGTCATTCCTTGGGTGAATCTCTAAAGTACAAATGTGTGCCATCCTGGTCAGTGCATTTCCCAGCACATCAGCTTCTTTGGTATTCTGTTCTACTCCATCTGACTATACTGAAAGCTAAAACCAAAAACAAATGAGAAAACTGAACCCCTGCAGCCATTACAAACATAAAGCAGACTGAATTCTGCTGGCAAAAATTACACTGCTACTCTCTCAAGTGCTAACTGAAATAACTGCAGAGCAGAATTTTGCTGAAAACAAGAAAAATCACGCAGCTAATAGAGGAGCTGAAATGACTTCACAACAGCAAATGAAAAGATTTACTTATGTTTTTTGTTGGTGTGTGGTATATATTGTTACATGAAGTTAATTGCTGCAGTGGTGTGGGAGATGATGCAGGAAGACAACAGATCAGCCACCACTTTGTGAGAGTTCATATCCATGGTATGAATCATCAGAATGGTGTTTGAGAATCGTAGTGGACTTTTAAAATACATATGTGAGCTGAGAAATTTTAGATACATCTCTTTGTAAAAGATTGTATCGAAAAGAATTAGATAGAAAGTTCCTAGCTTTCTGCATTTATGACTTCTTAATCGATACAAAAATGAATTAATTAGAAAAGAGCCACTTTTTGCTTTAATCCATCTGCATGAAACCACTGAGCCGTATTGTGACACAGACACTAATATTAATGATCAACTCGTAATAGGATAATGAGTGAATAAGGATTTTAAGTGGTGTGAGCTAGAACAATTACCAACCTAATAGGCTGATAAATAAGGCTACTTGACTTTACCCACAGAAAATGATCATTCTTACCCACTTACACTGAACGACCTGAACAAAACATGCTTTTTCTTTTTGCTTCCTGATGCCTTTCAGTGGTCATTTGTGTTGTCTCCAACTGCCATAGACAGAACCTCTTGTTGACACATCTAGCAGACCAAGTATATCGAAACTTGCCTCCCTGTTCTTAGCACACTCCTTATGAAGTGAGTGAGTGTGGTGCTTGGATCCGGGTGTCTCCATGCAGGGCAGTGGGCAAAGTGCTGCACACAGAGGCACCACACTGTCCCCATCCTGAGCCCCAACCCTTCTCACCACACCCTGTCCAACTCAGCTCAGCTCTCCCAGCATCTCCAAACCTTCCTCAAAGATGCCCCGAAGCCCCCTCAGCATCAGGTCAAATTAGCTGCTGAGATGCGGAAATGCCTAACGAGAAACAGAGGCCCAGATACTTCCAGCATTTCAAGAGAAAGCCATTAATATCTTGCATTTAGCCTAAGGCCAGAGCTTTCCTGTTGTTTCAGCAGCGTATTTCTGGCATTGCCGTAAGTTAAACTGCAGTGTATGTTGCCTCCATACGGGAGGTTTCAGCAAATGCAGTGACAGAGTTATTAAATAACAGTCTGCAACCTGATGGAAAATAAAGTTTAAAAACCTAGGGGAAACAAACAATATGTCAAAAACATCTGGGGAACTGTGATGCAGATATTATTAATATGTCCTGGTTTATAAGGAAATGATCTGCTTGCAGACAGTAATTATATGGTTGTTGTTATTTATGTTTACTATGGCCATGCCTGAATGCCTCAGCTACGATCAGGGCTACCCTGCACAAACTCAGCATAAGAGAGAAGCCCCTGAAGCACTTCTAAAGAAACAAAGGAATAAATCCCCCAATTTACCAAAGGGGCAACAAACCACAGGAGAACAAAATCATTTTGTCACAGCCATGCAAAAAAATTCTGGCAGAAGGAATCAAGCAATTTCTCTTCAAGATAAAGGAGGCTACAGATGATACAGAAAATAAAGCAAAATTAATCTGTGGCTCTGACGGCAGGCATGTGTGTCCTTCCTCTGTCTCAGCAGAACACCTGGCTTTGACCATCTCCTGCAGCCACCAGGATGAGAGGTAACGGACTCAAGCTGCACCAGGAGAAGTTCAGGTTGGATGTCAGGGACAATTTCTTCTCTGAAAGAGCAGTGATGCAGTGGCACAGCTGCCCAGGGAGTATTGGGGTCACCATCCCTGGAGGTGTTCCAAAGCCATGGGGATGTGGCACTGAGGAATGTGGGCAGTGGGCACAGTGGGGTGGGCTGGGGTTGAGCTTGGAGATCTTAGTGGTTTTTTCCAATTTTAATGATTCTATGATTCTTCCGCCTGGGGAAGGGAATTGCCAGAGCAGCTGGGAGCCCAGGCAAAGTAATCAGAAAATGCCAGTCAAGGAGATGTGACAGAGTGCTGTCGCAGGAAGGTGATAGGATGTCTTATCCTGGAAGATGGAGAGCAGGAGCTGCTCCTTCATGGGCAAACTGACTGTCAGCCACAGCTTCAGCAGGGAAATAATGTCATCAGGAGGATTTGGGTGAGATGAGAAGGGAAGCCAGGGAAGTTTAATCCTGGCAGAGGTCGCACCCAGCAGCACCTGCCTCTGCCCTCAGCAAACAGGCTGCTCTATACCTGAGGAGAAATAAAAGCTTTTATTTTACTGTAATCTTTTCCTCCTAGGGTCTATTCTGAATCCCAGATCTGCATCCCAACTACAGAAAAGCGAGACAACACACTGCAACCTTGTGTACAGAAAACACAGAGTCAATATTTACCTTGAAATAAATAGAGCCCAGAGCCACTTGGCCCCCAGGGGCCAAGGGACACACCGACCAGTTCCCCGAGTTAATTAGCTGAATGAAGCCACTACCTGCCCAGCAGCCCTTTGCACCACCTACATCTCATCACCCAGCTGAACGCAAAGGGCACGCAGCCCCCTGCCCAGCACCCCCAGCATTCACCTCATTGCGACCCACAGCCCTGCTGGCCCCCAGCCCCCACCACCCCACACTGCGTGGGGTCAGGCTGGGAGCAGGGCCTCACATACCTCTGCACAGCTTCAGCCGAGCCGGCGATGGGCACCCCGCCGCCCTCCCCGCCGCTGTCGTACAGCACCCCGCTAATGTCCAGCAACAGCCCCCGCACCGCCCGTGCCCAGGCCGCCATGTCGGCACCGCCTCGCTGCCCCGGGGGCTGCTGGGAAATGGAGTCTGAGCGCGGCGAGGCGGCCTGAAGGGAGCAGGGGATGGATGTTACAACCAGCAGGGATGCGTGTGGTTTTCTCCCAGTTGTGCTGCTTCTGTCAGCTCTGAGCGTCCCACGCTGTCAGGAGAACGGCCTGGGCTCTGCTATGGGTCTGCCTGCTGACCCACTCCGCGTCTCCCCCTCGTGCAATTCGTCCTCACACGCGGCTCCTAGAGCACAGAGAACAGAACCCAGACACAGAATTGGGTGCAATACTGAAGGTTCGCTCTGCAGACCACGGGTTCCAAACATCTCCAAACATCCATGCAAATAGGAGCGTGGGCCTGGTTCGCTGGGACCCTCTGCTATGGGGATGGCTGTGTTGGTCCAAGGGACCCTTTCCAGCCTTGTGATGGCTGTGTGGCCTCACCTGCCCCAAACACTGCCTCTGTGTCACCTCCTCACACGTGCTCCAAGAAAAATAATTGCCTCGTCATATAAAAAACTGAACTGGTCCCCTCTGTTGTGTCCCCTCACAGAGAAGATTTTATCAGCGGTGTTACAGATAGCTCTGGTTTCTCTCTCGATATAGTCGAAAGGCTGCCTTATTGCTAATATTATTGATAGCAGACTGTGGCTCACAGAACGCATCACAAGCTGTTCTGGTACCACAGTCCACTTTGTTTTAAGGAAAGCAGAGGAGCCTTGGCAGCATTGATTTGCATCGCCGCGTCTGGAACAGCCTTTGGCTTCTCCTTAAAGATATTATCTAAACTGTGAAATTCACTAAATAGACCCAGAAATGGATCAGGTTATTTAAAACAACATCACTAATGGCGCAATATCTCAGCTGTCTACGCTGATAGCGAACATTGTCTTGGATAGTGTTATCAGCCCAGGACACCCGCTATGAATATTGATCCGCAGCTTGTTACAGCCATCACTGCCGTCAGGACAGGTCAGGGTTGAAACCCACCCAGCATCAAAGCAATTTAAAGACAGCACTCAGGCTGAATTTTAATGCTTGAACTGGAAAGCAAACCAACTTCAAACAGGCTGCTAAAACCAATCCATGAACGCGTGCTTTTTGTGTGTCCCTTCCATGGGCATGTCTGTTTGTAGGTCAGCCGCCATGCACGTGCTAACCTGATCATATTTGAAGATGTCTGCTAGCCCACAAATTAATCCCAGCACTACAATTTACCTTTTAAGCTTCTGCAGTTGCAATAACTCAGAAATATTTATATTCTCACTATAAATCAGGTCAGTTTTTTTCTTCCAAAAATGAAACATCTCCAGAGCTGCTAAGGCTAACAGGATGCCCCATCCCTGAAGGCATTCAAGGCCAGGTTGGATGTGGCTCTGGGCAGCCTGGTCTGCTGGTTGGTGACCCTGCACATAGCAAGGGGTTGGAACTGGATGAGCATTGTGGTCCTTTGCAACCCAGGCCATTCGATGATTCTATGATCCTTAAAATACAGTAAGTAATACATTTACCAGATCATCATACCTATGGTTTTTCCAGGTACTTTGAAACTGGTATCGTGACAAACAAGAAGAGTCTTGTTCAAAACCATACTTACATACTTACAGGATATGCAAGAATATTTCATACTCATTTCCATTATCTGACCTCACTCTGGTCCTACGCTATCCAGAAATGGGGAACTTTTCCCTCTCCTTTTGCACCTCAGGCAACTTTATCACTTTGACACATGAGAAGCACTGAGCAGCACCCAGCAGGGTGCTTTCCACCTCAACCCAGAGTCATTTTCATGCAGGATGCACCCATGAAACTAAGCTTCACTTCTCTGCAGCTTCAGTGCATGAACTGTCCAGGACAGAGATAACTTCTCTTCTGAATGTGTATGGTATCCCATACCAGAGCCCAGTGCCAAACAGACTCTCAGGTGCTGCTACCACATAATTGACTAAAGAAATTACTTGTAATCATGTCTCCCCGCACATCTTTATCTCATCTTCCAGCTCCTTATTATCTTAAGACCTGTGCCTTTGCAGTACAAAAAGAAATCCCAACTCCATCTTCTTTATTCCTATTCTGCAGCACCTGTTACCATCGAGCAGTGCCTTATTTTTACTTAGTCAGATTCCCACAGACAAGCAGAGAGTGTGAGCACTGCCTTTCCTGCTGCACAAAGTCTTTGTCTATACCTCACCCTGATGTGCAGCACCAACAAAATGCAGAACTGCTAAGGGGAGGGGACAGCATCCTCCTCAAAAGCTGCAGAAGTACAGCACTATGTTGCTAGGAAGTTTTAAATAAAGGTCAGAAGAGTGGAGCAGGGTGGAGAGACCTGGCCTGTTGTTGATCACCTTACCTCTTCTATAAGGATAAGAGGTGATGGGGCACTTCCATGCCAGGTGGTAGGGCTTAGTCAAGGGCTGCTCGGTGGGGCAGGTGTCCAGCATGGGTGTACCTCAATTTCTCCACCTGTGAAATGGGACTGATGAACACTCCAGAGCCAGCCCTTGAACTACCCAGACCTTGAGCTGACCCCAAACTAACCGAAAACGCGAAGATGCTAATTTGCGAAGATGCTCATTTGCGAAGATGCTCATTTGCGAAGATGCTCATTAAGGACCAAAGCTCAATTTTACACCCAAAACAAAGGCCGCTGGGCAGAGGCAGCGCACCGAGCCTCTGCGCTCCTCACCGCAAGGCTCACCCGGGAGCAACCACGCGTGGATCCCCCCGGGCCGCACAGCGGGGCGGCGATGATGGTGGGGGGCGGCGCCGGCTGCGCCCCTGCGGAGCGGAGCGCGGGGAGGGCGCGGGGCCGCGTGCCAATGGCTGCTCTGCCCCCTCCTCTACCCCCACCCCGCCGCCCGCTCTCCTCCTCCCCGCCGCTCACTCCGCGTCTCCGGCGCCCAGGCGGAGGTTCCGCGAGGAGGCGGCGGCGGCGGAGGCTCCGCGGTAGCGCTGCCCTCCGCCCGGCCCCGGCCCAGCGCTGGCACCCGCGGCTCTCCGGCAGCGCGGAGCGGGGGATGCTGGAATGCCCGGACGGTGGGGCCAAGGCGGCCCCCGTCCAGCAGCATAAGATCTCCTTCTCCATCCTAGACATCCTGGATCCTCAGAAATTCACCCGGAGAAGCGAAACGGCCGCGGGGAGCGGGGGCAGCGCCTGCCGCTCGGGAGAGCAGGAAAAAAGTTTGGCGAGAGTTGAAGTAGGAAAAGGCGCTGCTCAGCACGAGAGCGAGAGGAATAAACTAGAGGCGGATGGTAGGAACGCGTTCGAGTTTCTCTGTTCGGCGCTGGCGGGGCGAGCAGGTGCCGGCAGCCGGGGAACATCCCCCGAGTCCGGACAACTGCAGGGGGGGTCGGGCTGCGGGCCGCCGTCCGTCGGGAGGGAGGCGAGGCGGGGTGCGAGTGGGATGCAGCCCCTTTCGAGTTTCGAAGATAGAGAAGTCCCCACCCGGGCAATCCTCCGGCTGCGCCCCGAGCGCACCACGACGTCGCCCGGCCCCAATTGGAAGCGTCCCTGGGCCACCCTTCCCCGGGCAGGGAGGGGGTCCCGGTCCCGATGCCGATCCCTGCCCGCTGCCCGCCCCCCCGCAACCGGGACAGCCGGCTGGATAATTGCTCAGCCCGTCCCCACCGGAGGATGCCTTAGCTCCCATTGATCGATATCCTATTACTGACTCCCGCCTATCTCCTGCCCACAGCTTGCAGGTACCCACTTCAAACCTCCTTCCCCCGGCCTGATCCTAATATTGTTCGATTAAAACTTACCTTTAATAGATGACATCTATCGATCCGGCCCTCGCAAATCTGAAACTCCATTAGCACGGAGATAGGGAGGGGGGGGGGAGGGGATTTATTTCGCTTCAGAAGGGGACTTTAATAACTTCTTTTTTAATTGGTAAGAAATCCATATCCACACCTCCCCGTAAATGAGCCGCCGTGGCGGGGGCTTGCCGGGCGGATTTCTTTCTCCTTTTATTTAACGACCGTTAAATATCGGCCCGGGGAGGGACGCGGAGGGAACGGCTCCTTGCAGCGTAGGGTCGGGGGGGACTCGGAGCTGCTCCGCAGTGCCCCCTGACCTCGCCGCCCTCTCCCATAGATGCGCGCACCCCGGCGGAGAGCTGCGCGGAGGCAGCGGTCGAGGAGGGGCAGCCAGCGGCCGGCGCCGGCTCCTCTTCGTGCTCCGCAGCCCCGGGGCAGGAGGAGCCGGGCTCGCCGCGAGGCGGCCGGCGGCGTCGGGCCGAGGCGAGCTGCGCCAAACCGCGGCGAGCGCGGACGGCTTTCACCTACGAGCAGCTGGTGGCTTTGGAGAACAAATTCCGCGCCACCCGGTACCTGTCGGTGTGCGAACGCCTCAACCTGGCGCTCTCCCTCAGCCTCACCGAGACGCAGGTGAAAATCTGGTTCCAGAACCGCCGCACCAAGTGGAAGAAGCAGCATCCCGGAGCCGACGGAGCGGCCGCCTCCGCTCCCCCCGCCGCCGCCCGCTGTTCCCCCAGCCCGCCGCGCCCCGCAGCGCTGCCCGGGCAGACTTTCCCCCCGTACGCCGCCGCCAGCGCTCTCTTCCCGGCCGCCTCTCCCTTCCCACTGGGCGGCCCCGGCGGCGGACCCTTCGCTCCCTTCTTGGGGCCCGCGTACCTCGGGCCCTTCTACGCCCCGCATCTCTGAGAGCCCGCCCCGGGTCTGTCCCAGCGCTCCCGAGGGTGAGGAATCGGGTTTTTCTTCTCCGGCTCGCTTCGACAAAGAGAAAAAATACCCACATGCTGTAACCACTGGATTTTATTAGCACGTTTGATATGTAATTATAGGCGTTGGAGATGGAGAGAATAACCTTCTTTACACATGCCTGACTCTAATTCTTCTCCAAGTTTCTCTTTCCAACGTTCCTCGTTGCCGTCTGGCTTGCCAGCACACGCCTCAGACCCGGGGAGCCCGGAGCTGTGACACTTTGTTCCCACTGCTGCTGTCCGGGTGCTGCTGACCACACACAGCCAGTCCGATCTCCAGGGATGCTCACACACAGAGACGTCCACGACTTTTGCTGCTGCTCCGGGGACTGGTGCATGACTCATTTATATCAGATTTCAGATATAAGCTCGGTTACCTGCTAAGAGTTCTCTCTTCTGTGCCATCAGGTGATGTGCACGGGGTCCGCTCAGGCAGTGGGAAAGTATTTGATTGCTGCTAATATGCATCGCCCCTCTGCCTTGCATTTCACTTCATCCCCATTGACTTCAAAGCTTTTAGATGAGTCGTCCAAAGATCATTCCTTTTGCAGAGAACGGTTGTTCTTGGAACAACAGCGTTGGTGACAAATGAGGCAGAATCGAAAACGTAAATCAGAGAAAATGATTGCAGTATTCATTTCTTTAAGAATGGGCCATTTGTGGTAGAAAACAAGGAAAACACAGAATTTCCCGCATGCAGAGACCTATTTTCTGTAACAGAGAAAAAATGCGTTTTGGTGGGGTTTTTTTGTTTTTGTATTTTGTTTTGTTTTTGCCTTTTGAAGCATTTCTTAGAAGGGAAAATCATATTTCATCTTCATTGTTATGAGCATCGGAATGAAAAGGGATTTTAGCTGGGGGCTGCTCCCTCCCTGAATGCTGGGAAGTCATTGGTTTAAAATAAATCCGCCTCGTGTGGCTTCACAAATTATTACAACCCATGTGCATCCCCTCGGTCACATCACGATGCTTTCAAGTACGCGTTGGCTCTCCAACCAAAAATCTGAGCTCATAAATCCTATCTATCTCTTGTGTTTGTCTAAATAAAAAGGTTGTGCTGTTTTTCTTTTTCTTTTTCTTTTCTTTTCTTTTTTTTTTTAAGTTACCCTGTGTTTAATTGTTTCTAATTGTGCTCAGACAGAGTGGTGTTTGCATTCCTCTGTGGGATTTTTAGGTTTCTTGAGCCGAGGTGCCCTGCAAGGCTCAGTGCAGGCGAGGTCCTGCTGTTACCTTCTCACGCCCAGGAGGAGGCAATCTGTGTCTTCCCAATTATTGTAATGCTGTTAACAAAGCACAGGGTTTGCCTCAGGTCATGATTTTGGAAGTCATAACTCTGGTATATATTTACTTGTCGGTTAATTACAGTAACATTTTCACTCTGATTGGATATGAATTACAGTTGCAGCGGCTCATCCCATCCGTGCTCCTGTCTGGGAGAAACCAGACTGAAATCCTCTTGGCCTGGCAGCCTGCTCCTTGGGGCTCACATTGCTGTGTGTGCAGACACCCCTCTGGGTTTCCTTTGGCTATCACTGAGATGTTCCCAGAGCACGGGCCCGTTGCTCTCCTGCACTGCTCTGAGGTCTTGTGGGGAAGTTATTCTGCTTGTGATATGTTATTCACTTGTGATATGGTCAGCTCTCCTCCTTTGTGAGTGTAAATTGTAGAAAAACCAAAGAAAGTTACAAATTAAAAATGCAGCAGTATAACTTGGTATGCAATCTTGATGTTTGCAAGCCTTTTAAAGGCTTTTGCCTTTAACTTTATGAGAAATCTGAACACTTGATTCCTGTGCAAGAAAAGCCAGCCTTTGCCCCGACCCCATTTAGTCATATCTATTGCTCTGGGTTGATGAAAAAGTTTTACATTTAATTTCAGAGAATACATCCCAGTTCCTAAGGTATATCACTTGCACCTTCGCCTTGTGCATGGCAGTGGCACTGCAGACCTCAGAGCACTGAGGTGCTAAAACACCTGGCTCAGCTCTGGCCAAGCACTCACGCTGATGTGTCCCTCCTCTTGTCCCATGTCCCTTGGCTGGTGACCCCTTTGGCTTCTCTTTGTGACTGGCCACTACTGTGGCTGTGATTCAAACCTCAGCCCTGGAAACAGCAATTGCTGCTGAGCTCCGAACTGCCCAGATTGTGCTATTCACACCAGTAACACTTTTAGAAGTGCCCCACTGAGTATCCATTATCTCTAGCAGTTCTGAGTATGGAGTTGTGCAATATTATCAACCGTAGACAAAAATTGACTTTACTCACAGCTGAATATAGATGTTAAATGGAATCACAAGTAAGATTCATGTGTAAACTGCAAAAATTGCATCTATGTGTTAATTTAGAAGTTTTGAATTAAAATGCTTCAGAGAAAGCAGGAAAGTTAGTGGCTAATCTCATTCCCCTCATATTGACTGTAACAACAGCATGGGCAGTGAGCAAGCCCAGCTGCTGGGCATATTTGGGTCATGCATCCCCGTGTAAGGCTTTGCTCACAATCTTGATTTCTATTCCAGAACACAGCATAGCAGCTAGGGCACCAGCCTGAAATGCTCCTCCTGCCGTGGCAAACATGTGGTGCTTCATAGGGAAGCAAGAGAGCATCTGCTGTGCTTCAGCAGTGCAAGTTGTGTGTGGATAAAGGAAAACTTTTGACTCATACCATGTTCATCTTTGGACCAAAAAAAAAGTAAGTCTTGTTTTTTTTACGTTCTCTGCACAGGGAACAAAAATATCAGTGGGCCAAGCCTCACAAAAGCACTCTGGTAATCAACTTCATCATTTAACTTGTTAATGAACAAAGTACCTGGGGTCAACCATGATCAAAGCTAGGGAAATGTTGGAAATGGTTGTTTAACTGGACTTTTAGGAAACAAACAAGCAAACAAACAAACCATTTCATAAAGTTGGGTTGAAACAGTGATTGAGCACCTGGTGGGAAGGCAGGACCAACCCAGGGCAGCTCAGGTGCATGCAGTGCAGCTGAGTGACTGGAAGGGCTGGAGCCAGGATCCACCCCTTCTCAGACCTCATTTAAGAGCTGGCAGGAGACGTGAAGGTCTTTCTTGCTGGAGATTCCTGCCTATCTGAGGCCTTCTGGAGGTAAGCAGCTTTTTTTTCTTCATTTTTGCATCTGCAGCTGTTGTATTTAGGTTTGTCTTCATTTGCTGTAGCTGAAGACTTTGCTACCCTGTTATTATTGCAGTACTTTCCGTCCCATTGCGTCATTACAGTAGTTAAACCTACTGAAAATGAAAAGATAAGATATATCTATTGAAATGCCAGTGTCCAAGCATTTTTAGTGAAGAAAATCAGTATTTATTGTGCAATACAAAGCTTTAGGAAACTTAGCTGAAGTATAGTTGCTCCTTAGCAGTCTCTTCCTTCTTTCTCTTTCGTTTTATCCTCCTCTATCTCTTTCTCATTTGCTTTCTCTTAAGTTATTACATACTGGAACGTGTGCAGGGAGTGCTTAGCTCTCTACATGCAGGTCTTGGAGCTGAGGATGGATTTCAAACCCCTGCTCTCCACCTGTGGACTCTTCCTCCTCAGCTCAAGCAGACCAATGGATCCTGGCAGGCCTCATAGAACCCTTCTGTGTGGTGTGGGGCAGGTGATACGCAGGGAGGTGGCTCTGGTTGTTCCTTTTATCAGCTGCCAGATGTGTTACCATCAGTCTTTTCAGGCTCGACTCCTGCCAGGAGTTTTTCTGCCTGTTTTGAGTGAAGAAGGCTGAGCCTCCTTCGCAGATGTGGGGAATCTAATTCTGTGCTATTCTCCAAGATGCACAGTTTGCAGCGTGGTATGTGCAAACTCAGCCTTGGTCCTCCTGATCCAACAGCTAAACTCTTTTTGTTATTTACCTCCTTTCATAAACCATTGTTTTGTTTAGCTGTTCTATATGTAAAACCATGGGTACCATAACTGGCAACCTGCCTGTCCCACAGCATGTTCAGGAAAGCAGTGAAAGCTGAGGCAGCCTGTGTTTATTGCAGACCTCACAAAACCCATAGCTGATCTATCATCAGCTTGCAAAGTGTCCAGATGGGTCAGGAGAGGTCAAGCAGCATTGCTTTGGCCTCATATACTGGGCAGGAACACAATTAAAGTCTGATTCCAGTAGCTTTAGAGCTTGCAGGCAAACCAGACGTCTAGCAAAATATTTGGTGGGTGAAATCTTTCTGAAGAGCAATTGATAACAGGACTCTTGCATAAGTAGACCTGAACACATTTTTGTTTTCTGTGATGATCCCATATCAGCTAAAGTCACCTTGAGCAGACTTTTATGGCAATTTCTTGGCACAGAGAGCTCACGTTGTGGGACTGATAGCTGGTCACCTGTTGAGTAAAAGTTTCTGGGAAATAATATGTGCGTCCCAAATTTACAAGCTGTGTGTGACAGATTTCTCTTTGCCTCCCATGTATCATCTTGCAGCTTGGCTCCTGGGTCTGTTCTATGGTTCTGTGATTCCTGCAGCACACGGCACCACAGCCTTTGCTATTTGCTTACTATTGTAGCACAGATATTAACCTTAATTTCTCCTGTATTTTCCTCTTTAAATACTGAGGAGCTCCGAAGCCAGCTTCTTTCCCAAGTTAATCATCATATTTTCTTCTCCTTATAAAACCATGTGATGAATTGTAATTAAAAAATGTGGTATTTCATGTGGCTTAGGCATGTCCTAACGCTACAGAGGGCTTCAGTGGCATTCAGGCTTTTTCACCTCTCTGATACACTGAAATACTTTCAAAGGCATCATATCTGTGTACAAATCCAATACAAATAAAATACTTTACTCCTTTGAAAGTCACGCTACTGGTGGTAGCTCTTATCAGAAAACTTGTTCTAGTGCTGTTATTTAAAGAAGTAGTGATTTTTATTTCTCTTTTTCAAAATGAGAGTATGTACAAAGATGCATAGGCTTTGTGAAATAGGAACCTTACAGGACATTGGGTTCTGCATCAG